CTGTCAGATGTTGTATACTCTGGTAATCATCCAGTAACATGCTATACCATCGATCTCATCTGTCCCGGTATTCACGTAGTACTTTAAATGGTAGTATAGAAAAAAAACATTAACATGATGCTTTTTTTGTAGGGGATATCATTCAGAAGTTAGCCTTCATGTTCGGTTAAAGATAATTAACCAGAACATGAAGTCTAAATTCTGATCCTTCACATACTTTGAATGTGCTCCTCTGATCTAATCAACCAAGTAGAGTGAAATTGTTAAAGCTTTAACCCTTTGTTGTATGATAAGCTCTTTTCAGAAAAGTTCATTTTTATCACATATATTAACACTGTTTCTGTCTAAAGTCAATTTATCACATTTATGTCAAAGAGGTGTCTGAGACTCTTTTTTTCTGAGACTATCATTTTTTTAATCAGTACGAAATGTTGTTTGTAAAATTGTGATGCGCTCGCAACAGCTCTACACTGGGCGCGACCAAGCGACCGTTGCAAATCAATTTAACTTTGTTTCAGTACGTGATAAAAAGAACAAGGCATCAGTTTAATGTCGGGTTTTGTCGTGTCGCGCCCTATACAGTCTATGGTCGCGCCGCGCCGCATCCAGCGTACACAGTGTCACTGATTATAATGGTTCTACTGTATTTTGCCGCTCGCGTCCGGTGTAGACACGGTGTTGTGTCCTATGCCTTCGCGGACAGCATGAAACCCACAAAAATAAATAAATAACAGAGAGAGAATAATAATAAAAACAGTTATTCTCTCTATGCTATTTTTCAATGTTTCAAGTTATGCAGGTGTTTTTTTCCCAGTAGGTTTTATTAAATTAAAAAAAGAATTCATTTTTCATAATGTTTAGTGAAATTATGTGATACTCTGAGGTGGGATGGTGCTTTGGGAAAAGGGGGGGGGAGCCAGATTTTTTATAGGTTTAAAGGGGTCTCCCCACAATATCAAAACTGACTGATTTTCCAAAAGGCTTCGTTGAGTAAACATGAGCACGTACTGCATGTTTAAATATCAAAATGAGGTACGGGTGTTTTTATATCACTGTATTTGTGAAGGAAGACTATCTTTAGAAAATGTTCTATGTCATTTTCATTTCAGCTTGCATGTTATATGCCTGATGAAGCAGCGTTTGTGAGCTCAGTGCTGCTTTGTGTACAGCCGTTACTGAGGAAACCTCTATTTCTCCCACTTTAAAGCACCTCCTGCTGGCAGAGAATGAATTTGCATTTTCA